CTGCTATGTTATGAACCATCCAGACCCCTCAGGTCCTCTGGAAAATGTCCGCTTTCTGTGCCCAGAGTCAAAAACAACCATGGAGAAGCAGCGTTCAATTTCTATGCTCATAAAAGTCTGCTGCAACTTGTGATTCTTTTAAATCAATGCTACAGACTTTCCTGTTTGCATCTGTCTGTTATTAATTCAAATAATCACTAATTTCTTACAGTGCATTTTCATTTATTTTATTGCATTTTTATTTATTTAGTTGTTATTCTTTATGTAACTCTTTTTATTTTCCTTTTAAATACTTCTCTTTTTATATTGTCTCATGTTGCTTTTACAATTTGTCAAGAAGCACTATGAATTGCATTATTGTTCAAATGTGCCATACAAATAAACTTGCCTTCCCTTATCTTGCCTTGTCCTGCAGCCTGTGATGTAAGGAGTGATTCTGCAGAAAGAATGAATAGAGAAGGGAGTGGCAATGTCCAGATGTTAATTCATTTGTATTGTTTACACAGTCAAACACAGATGCACAGGAAAGCTGTATGAAAGCTGGAAAGACATTTAGCATTCCTTGGTTTATGGCTTTCCTACTCTCCACTGGCTGTTCTGGGATTCAACACTATCTTGCAGCATAGGCCCATCGGACTTCTGCATTGGTCCGCGGAGTGTATATTTGCACACACACACACAGGACTTCAGCCTGCTTAGCTGAAGTCCTGTTTGTCAAGGCCAAACACAGTCTGGACAGTATAGCAGCTGTGATCACGTCTTCAGGTCAACCACCTAAACAGCAGTCTAGCCTAAGGAATTGATTTTGTCATGTACACACAGTTCAAAGTTCAACTCAATCATGTAAATTAACGTGAGATAGTAGCTACTGTCTGTCCTCGCTCATGTGATGGACAGTGTTGTTTTAGTGCTACAATGCATGTCCTCTGCAGAAGAAGTGGTTCTGAAAGGTGCATGCAGGGAATTTCCTGCCCCGAAAAATTTCAAAACTGCCAGAGAAAAGTCAACTTTAATGTGCGTCATGACCACAGCGTTGTCCCAGAGCACTATATCATAAGATTGTGTGAAATCAAACACACACCCACGCACATTTATAAAAAAAATACTCTCAAAGCTACAGGCGGCCTGTGAACACATTCTAAGCCAGAGCTGAATTATTACGACCTTTCCCCCCCTCTCTCCCTCTCTCCCCGTGTGTCCTTTTTCCATGTGTCTCCCTCACACCTGTTTATGTCAAATGTCAAATCCATGCACGCCACAGATTTGTTCCATCACACACACACACATTTGGGCCGGTTTAGACACAGGGGTGGACAAGGAAGGAAAGAGGTTAGTGGAGGACAGGGGCAGTGGGACAGGGTGTGTAACATGGTGTGATGTGATGTAACAGTGTCCACTGTTGACTTTTTTCCTTCTAATCCCATCTGTGTGTGTGTGTGTGTGTGTGTGTGTGTGTGTGTGTGTGTGTGTNTGTGTGTGTGTGTGTGTGTGTGTGTGAAGACATGGGATGGAGCGTTTGTTATTACACAACCTCCAGAGATCATCCGACCATCGGCAGACAGAGGGATTTCATCAGCCAGACAGACAGATGATATGTGGACATTTGTGCTCATGAATGAATGCTGTGTGTGTGTTTTGTGCACACTCTCTTCATCTCCCTTTGTGAGGACTGATTTGGATTTTAGTCCTGGAGAGTGCGGACATTTTTGGCAAGCAAGGACATGTTGCTCTGTCCCACAGACTGTATATATATATGGACGACATGACAGCTCCCTAAGTGTCTCTATCTTCCCCTGGTGGCTTGATACAGTATAGGTCATAAATCGTACCTCCTTTATGGGACATGGAACAAAAAAGGTTTTCAGTCATGTTCGCTAGTTCTTATCCCTTGATGCTTGTCCAAGTGCTCATGTTCCTAAGGTTTGGGTTACATGAGCTAATTAAAGGTTCAATGTGTGTAGAATTTGGTGACATCCAGTGGTGAAGTTGCATGTTGCAGCTGAACACCCCTCACCTCCCCTTCCAAACATGAAAGAGAACCAGAGAACAGTCTGGGCAGCTTTATAAAAACATTTATTTCTCTCTGGATGAGAAGATCATCACCCCTCTCCTGTCTGTTCACCTGCCAACAGAATGTTAGCTTAGTTTACCAGGAAAGTGAAGAAAAGTTAGTCTGCCCTACCAAGAATTCGTCCACAGTACTGGACCCAATGTAAAACCACATTTTATCATTTTGAACCAATCATCTTGAAATAAGTTTTTCTAATGAATGTTTTTGTAAAATGAGCTACATAGGAGTTTGTTACCTCTGGATCTAGCCAGACGAGATGTTTCCAGAATTGAAACTCCCTGTAGACAAACCAAACTAATACAGGAGCGATAATAAGATAATCAATCTTTCAAATAACACACAGCACAAGTTTGACAACATGTGGTTCCAAAATGTGTGACTGTTGTTGTGATAGCAAGTGGAGTAGGAGTGGTTACGGTTGAGGACTTAGGAATGTACTAGCACAGTTTGAGTCCTTCCACATGTAGTGTAGTGAATGTTGTGGGGACATTGTTCAGGTAATAACATAATGGGTCAAAAAACCCTCAGGCACACAGCTGTACATTCACAAACATTGCAACAATGTTAATTTGCCTTTTCAAAAATCAAGTCTATTACTTCTTTAAAGAGGTTTTACAAGAATTTTCTTGTTTTGGTTTAAAACGAAAAACTGAAGTACAAGTTTGTTTGGTTTTTGTAAAACATCGAAAATGCAGGACTTCATTGGACATAATCATGTTTAGTTTTAAAAAAACAACATGTTTTCATTATTAGTTAAGAGCTTAACTCTTGCTACTATCTATCCATTTTGCAGAAACCCGTCTCATTTAGTCTTCTCTCTACTTTTGGACTTCTCTGCCCTGTATGTCAGCGTTTTTGTTCCCACGGGAGACCCCAAATCTTTAAATGGGCCTCACAGATTGATGAGAATGAGAACACATTTAAACAACCATCAGGGTGGCATGGTTCTGTGCTTTTGTGAACTTTTAAAAGACTGTTTTGTACCTTTTTGGATAGACTTTTGGATGTAGTATGAACTTTGTAGTTATGGATGTTTTTCTTCTGTTTGTTTCCTGTTTTATATTGAAACATCTTTCCTAACGTCTGCACCTGTCCAAATGTGTTTCATTGTCCCTGCAGCCTCGCTTGTGTATACAGTCTCAGAGTTTCCCTTTGTCTTGGTCAGTTCGTCTATTAACGTGTGGATTTTCCTCAAGCCTCAGTTCAGTTTTCATTGATGTTTTTACCCCATGTTTCTCTGATGTTTTCCTGCCAATGGAGAGCGTAAACCTGCTTTGTTTTTCTCATTATTTTCACTTTCACTAGTTGAAGCTTCCACCCCTGCATTTGGGTCCTCTTAGCTAAAGTTGACACCCAGGTAGTATATGGCAGTGGGCTCTTCTGGCCAGACAAAACGGATGTGAGCCTAAAGTGGCCCACTTATAAATCAGCAAATGTGGCCCACATATCTCAAAACAAGTGTGGGCCTTTTTTGGCAAACATGTGGTAAACTAGGTAAGGTTAAATCTGGATGTGAACCTAAAGTGGCCCATGTGGTAAATGGTGAATATGGGGCCGTCTTTGGCCCAGATCTGGCGAACAGGAGCAGACAGCCCAAGCGCCATCATTTCATGAGATTTGTGGACTAATAGAAGTATAAAATCCAATCATCCTTATAGCAGGTCTCCAGGGAAAGATTTTAAGATGATCCTAAATCACAAAAATAAACTTTCTGTGCATGGGTGCAAAGTAAGAAATGTGGTTACACACCAACCATCCACCACCTTCCTGATTGCATCATCTTACTCAGCCGTCATGTGCAACTGTGATAGTGTATTGTATAAAAAAAAGCAAAAGTCAAAAAAGCACAACAACAGGAGGCAAAACCAGAGAAAGAAGAGAAAAGTATAGTGAGATGAGACGAGGGGCCTAAGAGACGACAATCAAGGCATTCTTTTCAACCATCAACCCCCCCCCGGCTCCACCTCTGGAAAAAAAAATCAATCATCCCCCCATCCTCCTCTCAGGCTCAATCTGTTGTCCTTCTCTTTATCTATTGACAACAGGGGATTGTTCAACAACTCCTCCCCCTCATCCTCCTGCTCCCCCTCTCTTTCTTTACTCTGCCTTTTATTCCTCCAGCCCTGCGTTTGTTTTTCTTACGATGGCCCTGTGGCTCTCTCTGATCCCTCCTCTCTTAGCCTTTCTCAAATGTTCAAATTCACATGTGCTTTGTTGCCATTTTTACCAAAGCGTGATGTATAAGGCTATTAATTGGTCGATGTATTAATATTTCTTTTTTATGGGGGGAATCAGACAATTCTCCATTCGAGGAAGCTAAATTGCAATATATGT